GGAGATCGTCTGGACCGGCTGACTTGAATATGTCCAGTCCCTCCAGAAGCTCCCTAACTAGTTCCTCGCTAACCCCTGGCCCAGGGGTTAGACAAGGTGTTTCAAACATGTTTTAAAAGTCGGTTAAAGCTGTTTCAAAGGGAACCCCAGAGCCTGCCACATGCATCGCTTGAAGGCAAAGAAACCTAGAGAGTACTTCAAAGGACTGGACCTGCTCCGGCTCCCCTTGTCTGAGGCGGAGAACAAATCACCATGAAGAATATGACATGCAAGTGATTGAGGAAAGTTCCTGAGCTGAATGCACTTGCTACAGGATGCTACACACCCTACCTGTGAGGGACACTTCCATCAGGACTAAGCAAGTCTCCTGAGGCAGGAAGCAGTTGACCTTATAAAGGACTGGAGTTCAACCCTTCAGCAACGCTGGAGTCAGGCTTTGGCAAACTAATTTGCAGCTCTCAGACCGCGGCTAGACTCAGCATTTTTCATGTCTTTTTTGCAGCCTGTGTAGCTCTTGCTTTCCTCTCTCTGCACTAGACATAGCTCTGTGCCAAGCCTCCCAATCTGATATATATCTATATTTTAATTTACTACAAGCCTGCAGCTCCCAACTCCCCTGCTTTAGAAAAATAGAACCCTGGTGCACTGCACCTCTGATGGCTCTCAGGGTGATTAAAAACAGCTTTAATTTGAAGCCTGCAGCTCAACAGCTCCCAAGGGCTTGACAAAATATATATAGCAATCTCCAGATCTACCTCTAGAGGCCCAGCTCTCCCCAGATGATTAACGATTGCTATTTCCTCTCTCCCCGTGACACTCGGGGAGACTGCCGCTCCAGGAGGTACAGCCAATGCCAGGTTTTCATCTAGAACAACAGACAGCAGAGCTCTCAGCCTGAAAGTGTCTCAGGAAGTCAACCTCACCCTGAGGAGACAGGTAGGGCAAAGCCACACAGACATGGAACAGCCTTGGAAATCACGCACTTGCCATTTAATAATGAACTCAGAGGGGCGCCTGTGGTGCCCAGAAGCAAGCTCCTCCAAGAAGGCTTAGCAGCTTTGACTGAACAAGCTATTCATGGGAAGGGAGAACTAGGACCTTCTAAACCCAGCTTGGCAGACACTGGCCTTGGATAAGTCACATCCTGCTGCAACATGGCAATGCCAATGCCAACCTTTCTGATGGAATTGGGAAGAATTAAGCACTCAGTGTCTCAAGCACTCTGACATCCTCTTCAGGCACTAAAGAAGGTCAAAGTTTGAACAGCTGTATGGCTTGTTCCGCTTCTAGGCCTGTCAAGGTGCAAACTCAGATTCAAGAGGACAGTGGTGACCCTCCAGGAGACCTGCCAGAACAGGGCAGAAAAGAAGCAGTCATCTCGATTCTAGAGGAAACAGGCTGCACAGTAGGTAATAGCAAACCCATCCTTTTGGAGCTGCATTCTGTAGAAGCTAGACAGGGAAGAAACTTCTCTCTATACCTCAAGCAATTCAGTTTCCATTGCTGATTCCCCAGCCAATTCCTCAGCTGTGGCATGAACGCTTTCCAAGGCCATGACTTGGAGCAAAAAGCCCCAGAAGCACTGCTTAACAAAGAGAATATTTTACCTTCAGCCACCTTATTTCCCGAAGATGCAGATGCCATAGAGTAATACCTAGAAATGTCTTTAGCTAAGCCAGAGTGGCTACTCCAAAAGAGATCAAAGAAATTACAGAAGAACAAAGTTCAATGGCACGTGCAATCCACATCTACAGGGACCACCACACTGCCAGAGATCCCCATTCCTCCTACTCCAGGCCAAGAACAGCTAAACTCTTGGAAAAGAAAATGAAAATGTGTGCTATTTCAATATGCACTACCAGGTTTGCTTGCTCTCCAGAGCCACAACACTCCAGGAAGAGATGAGAAAAAAATCTAGGGGCTTGAGCAGTATAAAAAAAAAGGGGAACTGTAAACATAACATTTTACCAGGTCTCCCAGTGACACCAGTGGATAAATCTTTTTCCTCAGTAAAAGGAACTCTTCCCACCTGAAGATGTAGAAGGAGCTCACTCACTGCTCCTCTTAGTAAAGGAGCAGCTGTCAAGGGAAGAGTATAATGTTTAGGAGAGCATCAAGCTATTACAGGGATCCAGTGACAGCACAGCTGTTGGATACATCATCTCTACAAAATGGCACAACAGGGAGGGGAAAGGGACTCCAACACAATTCCATGAAAGGCAGAGGAGGACACCCAATAAATACACAATACTCCAGGGAGATCCTCACATGGTAGGTTTTAGTATTTATTTAGTACAGACCCTGCAGAGAGCGAGTCACAAAACAAGGGGATGCAGGATTCTTCTTCAGGGTCTAGGATAGCATTCTGGTCACACAAGCAATGCTAAGCAGCAGCTGCACTCCTCCCAAAGATCCTGTCCCATGTTCTCCCTACCTGCTTGGAGCACAGCTCTCTCTCACAGGTCCACCACAAATCTACTGATTTGCTTTAGGTATTCTGGTTTCAAGTAATCTTCCATCTCACTCTTGGTGACCCATACGCAGTCTGCTTTGTTTTCTTCCTTGGACAGATGGCTGCTTTGGAGAAGAGCTTTGAAGAAAAACACTTTGGCCCCCATGCTGTCCTCAGTCCTGATGGCCCTGGGGAACTTGTACTTGTAAAGCCCACATGGCGCATTCCCTAGAAACTTGGCTTGGATGCGATTCCCTGCAAGGCCCAGGAATGAAGGGGGAAAAAGGGAAGAAAGCACAAGATCAGGACGAACGGACAGTAGTTATTACATTTGAGAGTGACAGCAGAAGTCACTCACCTGTGCCTAATTTTCATTTGATTCTACTGTTATTTCTTCTTAGTAGGAACATCCATCTCTTAGGCCCCACTTCAGGATAAACCTTCCCCCTGGGGAGCTCTTTGGGAGCCTACCAACCTTGCTCAAACACTACCATGGGGTAGGGGGCTACTGGGAATACATAATGCTCTTTCCCTTTAGGAGGTTGTGTGCACTGCTTCCACAATGCTTCCCTACCGGAAGGTAAGGGGAGATGGCTCGATTGCATTTACATGACCAGAAAAGATACTAAATAAAGAGACATGAGCCCAGGTCCCCAGAACAGCATTGATACTATTCAACAGCTAGTCCCAGGGGCCTGCACATCACAAATGCTTACAGCCACCCTGAATAATCCACTGGGCCAGGTACAGTCTCATGTTGACTTGCACCCACCAGAAACAAAAGAATCTCTCTAAGGGGTGGAAATCAGGAAGCTTCTTAAGGGCAAGTTTGTGCACAGCCAACTTCCCAGCAGCTCCATCCAGCCACTGAAAGCCCCACAGGGATCAGCCCACCTCCTTTTCTGTTAGTTGTGGTCAAAAGCATGCAATCCCTAAGAGGGTGCAAGGGGGCTTTGTGAGGATAACTGGGCACTAAGCCTGGTAGCAAGATGACCGACAACAACAGGGATAAAGGAGCAGCACCACCAGCAAGGGACTCACCCAAGAAAGACACCAAGGCTCGCTCCGCTGTGCTTCGTAGTGTCTCCCCTGACTGCCACTCCATTTGAGGCAGAAGCCACAGCTCCTGGTCACCAACCTTCTGTTTGACCAGCAGTGTCAGGTTACTGTCGAGCTTCCTGTTCAGAGAGGTGCGGTCATTGTTCTTATCAGCATCTGCCACAAGACAACAGATTCCAAACAGAATATCCACAGGTTTGTCCGGTACCTAAAATTACCCAAGGCCAGAAGCATTCTTTCTTCCCAAATTGTCTATGCGACTTTGATAACTCCCAGCAATGCTTTTATGCATACGTGCCTTCTCCTGCTCTGTCACCCGAGGATCTGGTTCCATGAAGGTGACATATCTTGTCTCAGTCACGGCTCATTAAGGTGAAAGAGAAAGATACCATTTAAATTAATTGATATAAATACTCCCCCAAAGCCTTAAGTTGCCCAGTTCACCAGTTTCATAGATATTAGGGCTGGAAGGGACCTTGCAAGATCATCGGGTCCAGCCCCCTGCCCAAGGGACAGGAAGTCAGCTGGGGTCAGATCACTGCAGCAAGATAAGCATCCAACCATTTAACTTAATAAAAGTCAGGATTTACAGAGGGCCTACGTTCAAGTGGCCTCACCATGCCATATGATGACTAGCTAGGTTCCTGCATTAACAGGAGTGTCACTTGCAAGTCAAGGGGAGGGATTCTTCCACTTCCTTCAGCATTGGTGAGGCCTCGCTGGGAGTCCCGTGTCTAGTTTTAGGCCCTACCCTTCAAGAAGGATTTGGACAGATTGAGAGAGTCCAGCAACAAAAATGATTAGGGGCTTGGGAGGCAAGAGTCACAAAGAAAAACTGGAAGAAGTTGGGCTTTTTTGTCTGAAGAATGTTGTCAAATACCCAAAGAGCGATTACAGAGAGGATGGAGACGGGCTTTTCTCTGTGGCTGTAGAGGGCAGGGCTAGGAGCAATGGCCTCAAGCTGAAGCAGGGGAAATTTAAATTGGAGATGGGGATGAAGAGGAACTTTCTGCCAGCAAAAATAGTCAAGCATTGAACAGACTGCCTAGCGAAATCACAGGCTCTCCATTCCCGCTCCATCAAGAGCAGGTTGCATTGACACTTGGCTGGGACCATTTCGGCAGGGACGATGCTGCCTTGAACAGGGGGTCGGACCAGATGCGACTACGCGAGGTCCCCTCCAAGCCGAATTTCCTACAATCCTACATTCTTCCCCAGGCTGCGAGGAAGCGGGCTCACACCAGCGACTCCCCAGTCCCAAACAGGGTTTCAGCAAAGGCAGCAGAGCGAATAGAGAGGTGCTCAGAAGAAACCATCCGCACCACCTCTCCCATCCACTTTCGTTTCCTGAATTGGGGCTCCTCGGTCTCATTCAAGTGCCAGCAGGCACCTGCTTTAAACCCCCGACCTCGCTCCCATCGTCCCCGTCTCGTCTCATCTTTGCCCCCCACGCTCAGATGGCGACCCTGCTCCCTGCCACGCAGGACACCGGGAAACGCCAGTGGAGAGGAGCCGGCACTGGGCTGGGCGGACCCAGAGCACAACAGCGAGGTCTGCCAGTCCCTACCGCGGGGGGGCAGGCAGGGACGAGACCTTCCCCTTCCCCGCACCTGTGAGGCGGGGGCTGAGCTCGGCCTTCTGGAACTGGTCCTCCCAGGCCTCCTCCAGGTCCCGCGCCAGCACCACGGCGCTGCCGGCCAGATCGTCACCGTGGTCCTTGGGATGCCGCAGCTGCTCCTCCTCGGCCTGGTGCCGCACCTCGTGGTCCGACAGGCGGCTCCGCTCCGTCTCCAACTGCGGGCGGACCAGACGCGCATCACGGGGCGGACACGCAGCGCCTCGCCCCGCCGCAACCTCCCCCCGCCGCCCCGCCGCGCACCTGCTGCATCAGCCGCGCCACCACCTCCTCCAACGGGCTCAGCGCCGCCGACACGATCGCCGGCCGCTGCAGGCACAGCGCGCCCAGGAGCCGCCAGGACGCCCTCGTGGGAGCCGCCATGATGCCTCCGCTACCGCCCCGCCAGAACCCACAATGCGCTGCGAGGCCCGGCATGGGCGCCGCCATGTTGCCACCGGGGAGCCACAATACACCGCGGCGTCGCCATGTTTCTACCTGAAACCCACAATGCCCTGCGGCGGGCTCCGCAATGGGCGCCGCCATGTTGCCACCCGGGCCCACAATGCAGCGCGGCGCCTGGCATAGGCGCCGGCATGCTGTCACCCGGGGAAGCACAATGCACCGCGGCGCAAGCATGTTTCCAACCCAGACACCCACAATGCCCTGCGGGGCCCGGTATGGGCGCCGCCATATTGCCCCCCGGGATCCACAATGCACTTCACTGACGTTCGCCCGGCCCGGGCTCAGCATGGCGGCGCTCAGCAGCGTCTGGCAGCGGCTGCTGCGGCCTGTGGCGGGGTGAGTTGTTCTCGCGTGGGCGCGGCCGGCAGAGGGAGGCTCGGCCTGGGGCTGCTGAAACCCAACCCAACTCCCCTCTCCGTCTCCTCTCGCTCGGCCAGGGGCGCCCGTGCCTCCCGCTCCCTGCTCGCCCCGGCCGGAGCCCGGGGGCTGGCGGACAAGGCGAAAGAGGCCGCGCCCGCCCCGGCGCTGCAACGGGCACCCCCCATGCACGACAGGTGAGGGCACTCGGCGGATCCGAGCCGCGCTGCGCGGGGGAACTGGGGGTCTGGTCTGGGGGCATCGTAGCCTCGCGCCGGGTGCGAAGGGGCACGAGCAACTCAGCGCGTCCGCGCAGGGCTCCCCGGCTGCCCCGCGCTCGAGCCGCCTTCTTCCAGGGTCCGTGAGCGATGCATGGCACCAGCCACGCATGGGCAGCGTTTCACTTCCCTGTGTTGCTTCCCAGCATCATGCCCCCGGTGCCAGGTCAAGGGAGTCACCTGAGGTGGGACGGAAAAAAATACGAGGACATCCCCATACTCCACGTCCTTGCTACCTACAACAAGTAAGAAACGCCTCAGCGCGCACCGCCCAGCGTAAAACGGCCTGTGTCTGGCACTGTTTTTTTTTCATAGCTTCATAGATATTAGGGTTGCAAGGGACCTGGGAGGATCATCAAGTCCAGCCCCCCGCCCCAGGGGCAGGAAATCAGCTGGGGTCATAGGATCCCAGGAAGATAAACATCCAAATGTGTCTTGAAGGCATTCAAAGTGGGTGCTTGAACCGCCTCTGGCGGCAGTCTGCCCCAAACCTTGGGGGCTCGGACAGTAAAGAAGTTCTTATAGTTTCATAGTTGGTAGCATCGGAAGGGACCTGAGCAGATCATCCCCTGCCATAGCAGGAAAGAGTATTGGGGTCAAATGACCCCAGCAAGGTGTTCATCCGGCCTCCTCTTAAAGACCCCCAGGGTAGGAGCCAGCACCACTTCTTTTGGAAGTTGGTTCCAGATCCTAGCTGCCCTGACAATGAAGTAGTGCCTCCTGATGTCTAATCTGAATCTGCCACCTGCCAGCTTGTGACCGTTATTCCTGGTCACTCCTGGGAGTGTTCGGAGGAACAGGGACTCCCCCAATGCCTGCTGGTCCCCTCTGACTAGTTTGTAGCAGGACAGTCGATACCCCCTCAGCCTTCTCTTGTGGAGGCTGAACAGGTTCAGGTCCCGTAGCCTTTCCGCATAGGGCCCAAGGACCAACCCCGGGGGACCCCCACTGCCAACATGCCTCCAGGTCAAATAAGACCTGTCTACCACCACTCTCTGGGTGCGGCACTCTGGCCAACTAGTGACCCATTTGACTGTGCAGGTGTTGACGCCTCAGTCTCCTAGTTTTTTAATGAGAATGGGGCAAGACACAGTGTCGAAAGTCTTTCTGGACTTTAGGAAGGCCATGTCCACTGTGACACCTGCGTCCAAGGATTTTGGGACCTGGTCATAGAAGGTCACCAGGTTGGTCTGACAGGACCTGCCTCTAATGAACCCATGTGGGTTGCCCCTAAGCATAATCTCCCTTGCTGGCCCCTCATGGACATGCGCCAGCATAATTCTCTCAAAAAGCTTTCCCAGGACCAAGGTAGGACTAACAGGCCTATAGTTTCCTGGGTCCTTCTTCTTCCCTTTTTGAAAATGGGAACCACACTGGCCCTTTTCCAGTCCTCTGGCACATCGCCAGAGCACCATTCTTCCTTATGTCCAGTCTGAAACGGTCATGGAGGAGTGTGTGACCATTCGACCTTGTCATCCCTTGGGGCGCTCTGGTGAACAGACCTTCCCCCAGATCCTGGTGAACACCCCTGATAAACTTGTAGGTGGCCACTAGATTGCCCCTGAGCCTGCACTTTTCCAGGCTGAAGAGTCCCATGGCTCTCAGCCTGTCGTCGTAAGGTCTGTTTTCCTGACCTCTGATCATGCTCATGGCTCTTCTCTGGACTCTCTGAACCATCTCCACATCCTTTTTGAATTGTGGAGCCCAAAACTGGATGCAGTACTCCAACTGCAGCCTCACCAAGGCCAAGTACAAGGGGAGAATAACGTCCTGATATTTTCTTGAGAAGCATGTATGGATGCAAGCCAGCGTTTTGCTCACTTTACTAGCTGCAGCATCACATTGAAGGCTCACGTTCATTTTGTGGTCAGTCGTGACCCCCAAGTCCCTTTCGTCCATAGTGCTAGCCAGTGTAGCACTGCCAAGCCTATAGGGATGCTGCAAGTTTTTCTTCCCAAGGTGGAGAACCTTGCATTTTTTTGGTGTTAAACACCATCAGGTTCTCATCCACCTGTTTCCTAAGCCTGTCAAGGTCAGCCTGGGTCACCCTCTTGTCCTCCAGTGTGGATGCTTTACCCCAGAGTGTGGTGTCCTTGGCGAGTTTTGTTCTGGTCACCTTCACCATGGTCGGTGCTTGGCGGGGGGATAGTCCTTGACGTGAGGCTGCTGATTTAGGTGACAAATACTGAACCGCTGCTGCTGCGCTGTGCCAGAGGCGCTGCCTGTAACAAAGCAGTTCTGACCAAGGTTTGTCGATTTTTGTTTTGCTGGCATGTGGTGCCTTTAACAAGAGAGAAATCATTAATCGCAAGCCATGGCCGAACAAAGATACAGATGCACTAACATCCCCCCATTCTCCAGGTTTCAGACGTCGCTTTAATGAGATCTGGGAACATCATCACTTCTTGTCACAAAGCCATTTAACAAGTGCCACGTTATTTACCAGAGGTAGCCACATTTCTCTGGTGATGCTGGTTTTAAAAAATCCCCAGTTTTCGGTTTAAAAAAAAGTAACCCCAAATCCACGTTCCCATCATTTAAATGAAACGCCACTAATATAGAGATGTGTGTGTATATATAGTGTTGTTTCATTTTAATTATGGAAAACTGTGGATTTGGGGTTACTTTAAAAAAAGTCCCCAATTTTTGGTTAAGTTGGAGAAAACTAGGATCCCTGGTGATCACAAGTGTGACAAGTTTACAATTCTGTAAAATTCTTCTCAGCTCAAGGAAAGTTTGTTTTTTTTTTTTTAAATAAGCATGAGAGAGCACGCGTACTCTCGCAGTGGGGAGGAGGACCTGGGGCAGCAAAATTCCATCTGAGCAGCATCTTGTGAGGATCCTTGCAGAAGGCACAATGCTCTCAGTTGCTTCCAAAGCAACCTTGACAAAAGTCATTGTGCAGTCCCTGCCCTTGGGTAGAGTGCAACAGTTTTGAGATGTTGAACAGAAGCACTGGGTCCAATGGTTTGGGGAAGAGCCTGGGAGGTAATCAAGGTGCAAAACAATGGGTGAATTAATCTGACAGCTTCTTACCATTTCTTCTTTCTCTCTCCTCCCTAGCACGCACATCAGCGTCAGCAATAAAAACGTGCGACTTGTTTATACTACTTGTGGCAGTGAAGGGTTCAGAGATGCCAAGAGGGGCACTGCTGTTGCAGCACATGCTGCAGGCCTTGCAGCAGCAGTGGTGAGTCTGCTCCAGTGACTCTTCAGGTTAAGGTTGATTGTAGTTAGCTGGTAGGAGTGCGGCCTGAAGCAGTTGGGAACGAGTGCTGCTTAGACAAAGTATCCTCAGGAGGGAAAAGGGGAGAAACAGCAGCTTTGCTTCTCATTCCCGCTTCCCTCTCTGTGGGGAGAAGAGGCAGTAAAGGCCATTGATTCCTGGGGTCAGAACAGCTTAGTTCTCCTTACAAGTAGCTTCCTCCATTTCCCTTGTGAGGAAGACATAGTAAACACTTGGAACTGGATGAATTGTTTGAAATGGGATATTTGAATGCCACTGGGGTGATGTTAGCCTCCAGCATTTTGGAGCCTGTAGTGGGAAATGTACATCCCCACTTACCCTTTAGCTCTGGTTTGCATGGTATAACCATGCAAAGTATTCACATAAATGTTATGTAACATATTTCTTTCAACTGCCAAGCCATTGTGAGCAGATCAGTCAGCTGTGCTTTCCCTTCTAAGTATTGATGCAGCCATGGACAGTGTTGCTAATCAGTAAGACAGCAGCTACTTTAAGTCAAGAGTCTTCACATTTTCATTTCAAATAAGCCCACTCAGGTAAGAAACTCTTGTTGCTGTCCATTCCATTACGGGCCTGTCTTGAAAGATGCTCTGGTAGCCCCTCTTGAAACTAAGACTAGTCATTTTCAGCAGGTTGAATACGGGGAAAGCCAGTATAACCACATCCTGCTCCTAACCAGAAGTACAGATAGCTAAACCCTAGTAAAACTGTACCTATTTTAATTAGGGGTAAGTTATTGCATTTCCATTTCAGTTATTGCAGGTTTGGAGTGGACAGACAAGAGTTCTTCAGTCCTGGTGATATGTTCCTGTGCAGCTAATCTGCATACCCACATGCCTGCTCTACGCTTCTGTAACTGCGTGGCTGTCCTTGCCCTTAGAGATTGATGTCTTTTTAATTTTATGATTTTACTTCTGCCCCTATAGTTTTTAGGAAGCTTTAACTTGTGCTGAGATACATTTTTCCCTCTACAGAAGAAAGATCAGTTCTTCCATTAGGTGGCAGTGCTACCACAGAAAGAAACCAGCTGTTGGAAGCAAGCTTTAGAGAGTTCTAGTTCCTCCTTCTCTGCCCAGGTTCAGAGGATACATCATCTGCTACCTCAAGTCCAAGCTCAGAGTAGCTTCACATGTCTGTTTACTTTTTTACTTTACTTGGAATTAGTATGCAGGACACACAAATTGTGTTGAAACTGCTTTCAATCACCTGTTTCCTATCAGCCCTCAGTTCCTCAGCTTTGTGTAGCGGCCATAGAGATCTGCCTGCCCCTCCTCACCAAGAGCACTAAACAGTTATTCTCTCCTCAGAAAGCCTGCAGGAAGGGTGTGTCCCATGTGCGAGTGATATTGAAAGGCCTGGGACCTGGGCGCTTGGTAAGTGCCAGAGACTATGACTCATGGATGGGAATCTTCATCTTTTTGCTGCTTTTCCTTGGGGGGCTGGAGGGGATCTTATTCAGGTGTCTGGAGGTTTTGATCTGACTTTTCTGTAGATGACAAAAATGGAGTCTGTAGGGAATTTATTATTTATACACCATGCAAAAAATTAAATCATTGACAAAAATGATCTTAGTAGTGAAAACTTAGAAGAATCTCTCCTAAAAGGCTAACTAGAAGCCAGGTTTTGTGTGTGTTGATTTGGACTAGCTTAGCTAATTTCCTTTGACTTGCTGTTATGAACAATCTTATCTCCTCCCCATGACAGGGCTTTCCCAAACTGATGCCAGACATTGTTTACACTGGTTCTTATTTTTGAGTCTGTTCCAAAGCTGCTACCTCAACATGTGCTGTTGGGTTTTTGCCTGCTATTAGGGGTGTGCAAAGCTGGCCCTATTCAGTTCAGATTCGGCCCAAATCAGGGGCAGTGATTCGATTTGTTGATTCAGATCTCTGTCCCTGATTTGATTCACCCAAATCTGAAGATTCAATGCTGATTTGGAGAATCAGCGATTCAGACAGACACAGCTTTAAAAGTTTTTTCTACATACCTTGAGGTAGCAGGCACGGCTTGTGAACGCTGTGATGCTGGGGTGCATGGAGCGTCCTACAGGAGTGCGGGGGGCCCTCCACATGCTCAGTGGCAAACCCAGAAGTGGACTGGAAATACTTCTGGTCCACTTCTGGGTCTGCCAGGAAGCGCACTGGGGGGCCCTCCTGCACCTCCCCAACTCAGCGATCAGCCGCAGGGGGGCTCCCCAGCACGCTCCCCAGCAGACCTGGAAGTGCTTCTGGTCCACTTCCAGGTCTGCTGTCGAGCACGCTGGGGAGCCCCCCTGCGGTCCTATGGAACACTCCATGTGCCCCAGCACCACAGCATACACGAGCCACCTGGTACCTTGAGGTATGTAGAAAAAACATTTAAAGCTGTGTCTATGTCCAAATCGCCATATCTTTCTGAATCAATTCGGAGGGTTTCAGTTTGATTCGGAGAGATTAAAGGGTCCTCTGATCCGATTCAGATTCGGAGATCCAGCCACCGAATTGGGCCGAATCTCTGCTAAATCAAATCGGGGACCGAAGCTTCACACAGCCCTACCAGCTATGGTATCAATGCATTGGTGCAGCAGCATATGGTCTGATCTCCGCTCTCTTGCCCTGACAGGCTGCCATCCAGGGGGTGATCATGGGGGGGTTGGAGATCATCTCCATCACGGACAACACCCCGGTTCCACACAATGGCTGCCGTCCCCGGAAGGCACGAAAAATCTGAGACAGGAATGGAAGAGAGGCACTGAGCAGTGATGGCTAGTGCAACGTAAACTGGTTCAAGGGTTTGCTTTTACATCACATCTTTGAAGGATGTTTTCCCTGAAAGACAAGTAGAATGGACATGGGCCATTAGCCTGACAGTGGAAGCAAGAATGTATTTTACCTGCCTAGTGGGAAACCTTTTGTCTGTAAAACTGGTAAATTAAAATGGTTATCTTTCTGATGGCCTCTCCTGCTGGCTTCCTGGACATACTTTGTGTTACTTTTCTCTCTCAACCACTGCTCTCCTCACCAGGCCATGTGGTTCCTGACAGCTCCCCGGTGCTGCTGCTCGTCACCAAAAAGGGGAGCGCTTGAGACAAACAGCAGCTGGTTCCCCCTCCAATTACCTAACCAGAGAGTGGTCTCCCTTAGTCAAACAAAGACTTGGAAGTTGGAAATAGAGAATTGCATTTTCTTCACCAGGCTATTTCGCCTGTCTTGCATAACAGTGCCAACTCCTCAGTCTGCACTGAGTAGAACAGTATGCCCCAAATTTACTGCTGCTGGGGGTTTGTATTGTTACTTTGTTTTGCCTTTGTTCTAATTGCCCTCTTAGTGGTATTTGCTGACAGTTAGCCTGGCATTTCCGGAGGCAAGAATTGTGGCAACACAGGAAATGCAGGTTGGCAAAAGTCTGGAACATATATTTAGGACATGTTGTATGTCTTGCAGTACCTTCAGTTCTGTCTCATACTATTGTCTGCACCAGTCAGGATTCCCAGGGAAGATAGTAAGTGGGATGTTAGGCAGCCCAGGAAACAATAAAATGCTACCTAAAGAATTTAAACACTACCATCTATCCTGGATTATGCTGGTCTATAGCCAAGGGCACAGGCCTGACATATGGGTGGGATGGACCTACTACAAGTTGCTGTATATTCCAACTCCACCTAGAGAGTGTTTTCTCCAGCCAGATTGTCTTGGAACCACCTAGAGAGACCTGGTAACTACAGTGACTGGCTAGGATATTGATCTGTGAGCAAGAAAGAATTTCTAGTAGCTCCTTGAGGAAACCAAAAGGAACAGAGAGAAGCTACAGTTACACAGAATAAGCTGAGCCACCACAACACCTCTCCCCAAAATGGTAATAAGCCCAGCCTCTCTTCTGACTCAGCCACCAGCTCTAGCATGAACCCAGGGTCTTCCATTATTCTTCTCTTTTTGGTTCCTCTTAGTTTCTTAAATTGCATAATTAACTATTCTCCTCCCTTTTAAAGAGAAGGTGCCATGGCAACAAAGCAGCATCTAACTCCTTCCTGGTTCTGAAAGACATGCAGTGGGGCTTTGGAATGCAATCAGGCTGCTTAGAGAAACCTGGGGTTAGAATCAAAATCATAACATTAGGGTGTTAGAAGGGACCTCAGGAGGTCATCCAGTCCTCTAGCCCCTGCTCAAAAGCAGGACCAGCCCCACCTAGATCACCCCAACCAGTGCTTTGTCAAGCCTAGCCTTAAAAACCTCCAAGGATGGAATTTCCACCACTACACTAGGTAACCTGTTCCAGTGCTTCATTACTCTCCTAGTGAGAATTCTCCCAAATATCTAACCTAAACTTCCCTTGCTGCAACTTGAGACCATTGCTTCTTGTTCTGTCATCTGCCACCACTGAGAACAATCCAGCTCCATCCTCTTTTGAACCACCCCCCTTCAGGTAGTTGAAAGCTGCTAGTAAATCCTCTCTGTCTTCTCTTCTCCAGACTAAATGAGTCCAGTTCCCTCAGGCTGTCCTCAAAAGTCATGTCCCCCAGCTCCCCCACCATTTTCATTGCTAGATTCTTTCCAATTTGTCCACATCCTTTCTGCAGTGGGGGCCCCAAAACTGAACATAGCACTCCAGATGTGGCCTCACCAGTCCTGAATAGAGGGGAATAATCACTGACCTGTTGGCTGGCTGGAGTATCAATGCAGCCCAGTATGCCATTAGCCTTCTTGGCATCAAGGGCCCACTGCTGGCTCATATTTAACTTATTGTCCCAGGTTCTTTTCCGCAGAGCTTTTGCCCAGCCAGTCAGGCCCCAGACCGTACCAGTGCATGGGATTGTTCTGTCTTAAGTGCAGGATTTTGCATTTGTCCTTGTTGAACCGAGATTTCTTTTGGCCCAATCCTTCAGTTCGTCTAGGTATCTCTGAATCCTAGCCCTACCCTCCAGCATATCTATTACTCTCTCCAGCTTGGTGTCATCTGCAAACTTGCTGAGGGTGCACTAGCTGCCATCTTTCAGGTTGCTGATGAAGATACTGAACAACAAAACCAGCCCCAGAACTGACCCCTCGGGCACACCACTTGATACTGGCTGCCAACAAGACAGAGCTATTGATTACTACCCTCTGAACCTGATACTCCAGCCAGTTTTCTATCAACCTTACAGGTCATTCATCCAGCCCCTACTTAGCTTGCCTGTAAGTAAGTTGTGGGAGACCGTATCCAAAAGCCTTGCTAAAATTGAGGTACATCACATCCACTGGTCTCCTCGCATCCACAGAGTCAGTCATGTCATCATAGAAAGTAACTTTAGTTAACTGAAGGCAATAAAACACAGCAAAATGGAGACTTGCTAAGATTCCAGCTCTGACAAGCTTTCTCTAAGTTTCCCTATAATCTTACAGGGGAGAAAAAGACCTCATTCCTCACCGTCAGACAAGATGTTTTGGGCTGCTATTGGGTTTGTAATGCACTGACCAAAAGAGACGTGCTGGGTCAGCTCTGAACCCCAAGGAAAAATATTAGCCACAGGCTGCATTACCAGCAAATGTGAGGGGAAACACATGTCTGTAGCAATATGGCCTATAGCAAGGCGCAACCAGTTTAGTGCTGGGTAAACATAGTGGCCTGGAGAACAAAGGAGCTTCCAAGAACATAAATGCTTAGCATCCCACAAACAAAATTGCATGGGTTGGCATCCAGGTTGTAGACATATTGGTCTAGAGGAAAAAGCAATCAGGTCTAATAAAAGATATCACCTCTACTAAGTCCTGATTGCATGGCTTGGGGTACTCTGAACCTCCCTGAACTTCAGCAGGTTTAGCAGAGGTACCCTGTACGTACCATATTCTGATCCAAGCTAAACAGGTAGCATACAAGATGCTTGGATGCTGTTGCTCAGCCCAAAGCTGTGCTGAGCCACCCTTGGGGCAGAAGAGTCGTTGCTAAGGAAAAATGGTAAAAGGGATTAAAAACAACCTCTGGCTTGCAAGAGTCACTGGGGAGAGATTCATGTGATTTTAGCCCCAGATTTATTGCATGCCCTTAGCTAGGGTCCGGAAACAGCTTGCCATTTCCCAATCTTGATCCAAACTGAGGCCTTATATAACAGCAGCAGCTTTTTGCACTTGGGATGCCTTAACCTGTGGGGACACCTGAAGCCACCAACATGCTCTGAACTGTACATACAATTGGCAAGCTTCACCTCCCTTCCTCTCTCATGTTTCTGCCTTAGTCCAGTGCCAGTCAGTTTCTATTTCTATCCAAAAATAACATTTAAATAACTTTTTCTTAGGATTCCTCTGAATCTGGCAAATATTGGCTGGTGTCACCCACCCACCTGTTCATTAGCTAAAAATGTATATAAACAACATCCTGACATATTTGCTTCTCTTCCAAACCTCCAGCTCTGTATAAACTTTATGGACTAGCAGACAAGATGCAAGTGGCACAGCTTGGTGGTGAAATCAAATCCACCATATCTGTCCTTTGGACTTCTGCTGAAAAGACACAAGATAAGTCCCAAAGCAGATTTTGAGCACTGACTGATTATTACTCAGAGCAACGGGGCACAAGAGGCTGCAAAGTGCAGGCCAGTGCTGCACTTATCAACAGTAGCAGAGTGCAACAGTATCCAAACTGGGCTCTCCTACCTTGTGAGAAGGTGGTAATCATCCCCAGACCCTATGCTACAGGGGAAAGTCTGCTGCAGTCAGTTGTTCACTTTGTTAGGAATTAAGAAACACCAACAGCCTTAATGATTTCCTTACAAGTCAAATTAAGCTATTAATTAAGGTCTTATTTTAGTCAGCCACCAGTGCCTACAAGTTTTAATTGTTTTCCCTAGTGCTTGAATGGAATATTGTTTTGCCCTGCCTTGCTTTCCTCCTCTTCCCTCCTAAGGGCTGTGGCTTGAGCTCATGCCAGCATTGTTATACTGCCAGCATGTTCACAGCACTCCAGACCTATAGTACTACAGGTAAGCTTCCCACTTCACTGCTTTGAGAACTCACTAGTTCACTTGTAGCTCCCACCTTGGGACTCAAAGCTGCTCAGACATGGCCTCCTGAGAACAAGCTCTGTCCTAATAAGGACCAGCTCCGCTCCTTCTTCAGGGTAATGTGATTTCCCTCTCTAGTTGTGCCTCTTTTAAAATGGAACACGCCCAAATCCCAAGCTCCCAGGGATCAAAATGCAAAACCGTGTCCTCATTTATGGCTAACCTGCTAATTAATATCTGTCTCCCCTGTTCAACACAGCCATTGCCACATAGCCTCAGGCTGCTGGTCCAACTCATTCTGCTACCCTGGCCATGGTTTCAAAGGCAATTCCCAGGACCCCAATGCTTTTAGTAAATTGCTGTGCTAGGGAGAAAACCTCTCTTAACCCCTACAACAAGCAACTTGCACCCTGAAGCACAAGCACTGCTCACTGAGCTGGTGACTCACTATTTCCTTTGCAGTTTGTTTTTGTTGGTGACAAGAATCAGGTGCCTAATTCTGATTATTTTGGAAGTTTCAATTAAACCATTAATTAAATGATGTCAGTGTCCTCTAATAGCTGACTCTGAGTGCAAGGAAATAAGGAGAGGAAAGCAGAGCCTGCTGTGCTAATAAACGGTAGCAGGGGTGGTTTCCTTCAGACCAGTGACTGCATCTGTTAGGGACATCTGCATTCCCCACCCCCAGGGAATGCCTGTAAATAGGATTTGCACCCAGGAGTAGTGCAATGGCTTAAAGTCCCTTTATACTGGCAGAGAGCTGGTGTGCAATCACACACAGTTACAGGGAGGGACCCTATGGCAAAGGTATTTCTAGTGAAGAAATCCTGTGTCCTCCCCCAAGCAGCAAGAGTTCAGATGAGGCCATGATTCTGCCTTGCCTATGCACAGACTAACAATATCCATCCTTCTGCAAATGAAATAAGTGCTTCCAACTCTGCCCATCATACATGGCCAGCACTTAACCCCACTCAAGCCCTTCAAGGCCCACATGGGTACCTCTC